CACGTTTCTAAGATAATGTTTACCTCTATTATTTTTGACTAGCTTTTACTGTAATTTAAAAATTTAATGTATAGCAGTACAAGTAAAGATGATTTTTTAAATGTAAAAAGGACTAGTTTTACTTAGCAAGATAAGGGTCATAAAGATAGTTGTAAAGAAACCTCAGATAAAAAAAAATATATTATTTATAAAACTAGATATGTAATCTCTGGTGGTAATAAAAAAATAGGCTGGAAATAAATCTAAATTCAAATATAGGTTTCATTATGAATTCTTACATATTTATGATAAAAACACTGAGATTTGTCCACATCTTTTATCATTTCACTGTGATAATGATATAGTCCTGGTACAGGCCCCTTTTTATCAAATAATTAACATCCGTCTGAAACTTCGTAAATAGCTGATTATCATCGTAACCTACAACTATTTTATTTACGAAAATTCTCGAAATTGGGGCGTTTTCAATCTGGAGACCAGCAAACTTAATCTATTTAATTAGGTACTAATAACTCGTAAAAACCCATTTGCTTTTCACTTGAAGCGTAAGATAATTTGATCACAAAATCGAGAATAAGATGGCGTTCAAAAATATTGAGCCGTTTGACCTGACCTACACTCACGAAATGTTAAAATAACGAGGTTATATAGGCCAAACGACCCAATATTTATGTAGGTCATCTTTTTCCTCGATTTTGTGATAAACTTGTCTAATTGGAAAGTAAATGGGTATTTATGAGTTTTTAGTACTTAATTAAGTAGACAAAATTTCCCTACCTTCAGATTGAAAACGCCCCAATTCCAAGAGTTTTCGAAAATAAAATATTTGTAGGTTACGATGAGATGAAGCTACTCACAAAGTTTCAGACGGATGTTAATAATTTGATAAAAAGGTGTCTGTATCATGGAGTAATATGAGGTGATTGTTTTAATGACTAATTCTAGTAATATAGATAAGTTTTCATGTGTGATATATGAATGGTTTAGAAGTTTAACTTTCATGAATATATTTCTAAAATAAAATAGGTGTTTTAAGTAAGTTGTCAAATAGTTTGAGAATGACTCTTTACAAGAGTGGTAACTATACAGATCCGTGTTAGATTCGTCAGCTAGGTGCTAAATACGTAAGAGAGGCCAGTTCAAAGACACAACTTCCTCCAGCTCTTATATTTAGATCATGAACAATCCTAAAACTGAGGAAATTACGTGACGAAATATTTTTTGTTATGAGTGGGTTTGTCCTTGCAAGAGTATTGACGTCATAGAAATCGATTATCTAGATTTTTAATGTTTATACGGACCGCGTATCGTGAATATTTATATGAATGGGTTATTATTAGATAAATAAATATTTTTCAATACTAAGTGAATGATCATCACATAATATTGAAAGAAAGTGAGTCAATAACACTTTCATTAATACTTTTACGGTTAAATAACTAAGAATGTTACTGTACTGGTGGAGCAGTGACATGTCACCGAGTCACTGGATCAGTGACAACCTGTTCCACTTTCTTGAACCTTACCGGTACAATACAAATTTCATCATGATGTGTTTTCATTATTTAAATAATTCATTATGTATACAAATAAATTATATAATAATTAACTGGTCATGTGAAATTTATTTTAGTTCACTGTCTCTCTCTCTCTCTCTCTATCATAAATTTAAGTGTTATAGTGGAGTATTTATGCTTAAGGTCACAGACGGATGTACGGGGAGAGAGGAGTTTCGGGCTGAAGCCCCCTGCCCCCTCTATAAAATGATAAAATATAATTATGTTTTATAGAAAAATATATTAAAAACTATCTCATGAAGTATTATTGTTCGTGTAACTACATTAAATAGGACGTTAAGAATTAAACACCATTTCATACAGGTACATAGTTTTTTTTTTTTCAAATTAATTATATATATATAAAGCTTTCGGCCTAAGCCCTTCCCAAAATTAAATCCTGGATCCATTAGCGTAAATTAGGAATTCTGTCTCTGTTCCCGGCAGTGCCAAATGGAACGCCCCGAAGAAGACCTATAATGTAGGCCGAAACGTTGGAAAATTCAATAAAAATGCTATTATGTAATATAATATTTTATATATTGACCGTAACACGGACTAACTTCTTCTGATATTAGGAATTCTAGAGACAAGAAAAATAAATTCACCACTTGATTTTATAAATTTTCGGCTGTCAGGTCATCTTCAATTGATTTGGCTGATTCAGTTGAAGAGCAGTTCTAAATAGGACATCATTTAAAATTAAATCATTTAATCATCATCATTTAAAATTAAAGTAAATTTTCAAATTTAAATTAAATTAATAAAAATTATAAGGTTTATTAAGAACAAATCCCTCTGAAAATAACTAAAGAAATATTTAATTTAAATAATTAACGATTACCTCACTATAAACAAGAAAAAAAAAATGCGTAAAATGAAGATAGAGTTTGTTACTGTTAAAACCATTTATAGAGAACTTTTAATCGGCTAAAGCTAAGTTCTGTTAAAAAAAAATCATAAATTATTCGCGATTTTCTTTTTTTTTTAAATCATCATCCAACTACACTACAATTGGGTACTTTTAGAAAAACTTCGTCCTTAACTAAGCTTTAAGTCCATATTACTTATGGACTCAAAGCTTAATTTGGAAAATTATGAATTTGAGGTTTATTATAGAAAAGTTTGATGTTCACCTCAAGTTGTGTAAAAACATGAAGCCATTTTTTATCCTGTCAAGTAGAAGTATCCCTGTTCTCAGCAAAATTGACTCCAATGAATTGTCGCAAGGCTTTTATTTCTTGTTTTTACATGATCTGGGCTAATAAACATAATTGCCTAAACACACTTATTATTATTAAACTAGTTAAATTGGCTTAGCAAACCCAATAAATATATCTTGACTGATTTACCTGCAAATTTTGTTTCATCTTTTTTTAAATAAAGGCTTCAACCACATGGGTTATTACAGCCTTATTTTCATGTTTCATCCTTATAATTGGTCAGTCGACTACTTACCCATCTCTAAATTTAAAAAAAAAAATGATTTTTCAAGTATTTTCCTGGTAAAGTGGTTATGAAACTGTTTTTTTTTTTTTTTTTTTCCAGATCTCAACAACTTGATCCGTATTTATAAGTGACAAATTAAATCTTCTTGAACCAAATATTAACGTTTTCATAAAAATAATTGAAGTAATCAGTAGGTTTATTTATTTTAAACGTAAATTTTAGGACTAGAAACATTTATTTAGTCTCTTATAAATATGGATCAATTCCTATAATAAATTTCTGAGAGAAAAACAAATTTTCATATACATGTTACCTGAAAAATAATCATTTTAACTTTTTTCTTATTATAAATAAAAAGTTTATTTAAGAAATTATATTTACTGTAATAAATTCCAGATCATGGAAAAACAAGAAATGAAAGGTTAATTATAATAACAATTAATTATAATAATTTTTGCTGAAAACATGGTTACTTTTACTTGACAGAATAAAAAATCACTTAATTTTTCTCAAGTTTTTTCCAGATAAACATCAATTTAATTAATATCGACTTAAAACTTATCAAACGAAGAAGTTTTTTGAAAAGTGGTGATTCTGTAGTATAGTTGGAGAATGATAAAAAAAAAGTTGAATAATTCATGATTTTTTATAAAAATAGAACTTAAGGCTTAGTTTAGTCCCTCAAAAGTCTTCTTTAAATGGTTTTAACAATCACAAATTCTGTTTTCATTTGAAGTAAATTTTATCCAGTTTAAAATGAAGCAATTGTTAATTATTTAAATTAAATATTTCTTTAGTCATGGCTTCCTATTCAAGACACGTGGATCTACGGGGAGCTTTCGGGCTGAAGTCCTCTCCCCTCTCCCAAAATGGTAAATTATAACCGTATTTTACAGAAAAATATAACTATCTCTTAAAGTATTCTTGTTCCTGTAATTACAATAAATAGTACTTCAAGAACCACTTAAACACCATTTCATATATGTAATGAATTTCTTCTTTTTTTTTTTTCAAATTAATTATCGTTCTATATATATGAAAAAAAAAGCTTTCGGGCTGAAGCCCCCTCTCCCAAAATTAAATCCTGGATCCGCTAGTGCTATTCAACCAAAAATATGTTTCGCTTAAAAAACAACAAATCTTGGATTTTCTACTTTTCGGGCGAAAAAATTGGCCCATTGTTTATATAAACTTTTTTGTAGTCCTTGAGGACTGCTTTTGCTCTACTTACGGACATCCTGTATAGGTATTCACCATACAAGCTTTTTTGGAATCGATTTTCATTGGTAGTATAGATTTTTATGTGAAGTATAAAGAATCTAGGGAATTTTTATCCTACTGACGATACTTCCTCTATCATTCGAAAGTACCGGCAAAGTGAAACGACGAGAAAGAGCCACAAGAGTATAAAATCACGCAGTACTTCAAGTTGATTATTGTCTAAAAATGCCACATTTTCAGCGGGTTTTCATACCGTATTCAACACGAGCTTACACAGATGTTAATCAATTACAACCGACAGCGAAATGGGCAAAGGTAGTCAGTCAGCCTCCTGAAATCAGTTAGTAACGAATTCCAGTTTAAGAGTTCTTGTAAGAGTCCAATGAATGACGTACAAGGTGACTAATTCATATCAAGGTCGCTAATGGCAAACTATAGCAATATGTCTATTTATAGTCGAGCGTAATTGTTTACCTAAACATAACAAATCTTTTGCAAATATTTTAAAAAATAACCGGGAAAATAAATGTAACAGAATCTTTATCTCATTTCTGGAGATAACTGGTGATAATGTAGTAATATGGTGTTTTCAACTTGCAGATGGCAGCACTGTTGCCTGCATATTAAATAGGAGTAGCCTGTTATCTATCTGCCCTCAATTACAAAGTACTTGTGTGGTCGTGGTGTACGTCTAACAACGTCTAGTGTTGTTTATAATTGCTATTTATATTTGAAGTTTGTTTTTGATCAATATTGTTATATTATTGTGATACAATGAGTTACCCTGGATATCCAACGTATCCTCAGGTATTTACCAAAAAGGCCTGACAATTTTTTTTTTATTAGTTGGTTGTGATAACTAATGATGATTTCATTAAACATTCTATTTGTACATAAACAAATCATCTACTTCCATGTTTATGTTTGCTACCCATCAAAAATTGTGTTTTTGAGTTTCACAACTTTTGTTACCTAATATGTACATGGATTGTATTGTTATAATGGATGATTTTGCACTGTAAATAACTAAAATCACTATCAAGATTAAACAAATAAAGTATTTTTTCAATGGTTTTCATATTCAATGAATTTCAATGTATAATCTTTTAAAATCCCATTCATAAAATATAAATAAGTAAGAGTTAAAATAATAAAAGTTGAACTACAAATGCCAAAATAAAATTCCAGAAAACATTTTGTTTCATATCGCTCATTTTAAACACGGCTTTCAAGGAAATTGTTCAAGGTCTCCAATAAGAAGTCTGTTGCTGAATGGTTTGGTTGATGCTAATAACTTTTAATTCATAAACTTAGGTGTTTTTGGTTTTTAAATTCGAAAATCAATTGTCGTTGACCATTTACGAGCATAATTCTGTATCTAATTTCAAATTATTATTGAAATAATCATTAAAATATTTCTGAGAATATTTATATTAAAAATATTATATTTGGGGAAATAACATTAAGTTGAAAAAATGGTGAATACAAAAATGTTGAGACATTACTTGATATATCTTTCATTGTACTTTGAAGCCTGCTTTTAAAGTGTAATGAGTCTGGCTAAATATGTCTTTTCTTCTTAGTTTTTCCAACTTCCTCTGCTGACATGCTCTCTAAAACTACTAATGTAATATATAAATTGTAACATTATGTAATTATTGTGACATATTAAGTTTCGATCCTTAGCTGTTCTCAGAATTCCATTTATAGCGTAATCATGAGAACTTGGCCCTCTCATCAAAGTGGAGTGACAGTCAGTTTTAACTTTTATAGGTTAAAATAAAATTAGTCATGCCTTACAAAGTATAAAAAAGAGAAGTAAATTGATACAGTGCATCTTTATCTCAAGTGGAATTTATTTAATTTAAAATTTCTTGTATTTAAAACTATTTCTGTAAAAAGTTATCCCTTGTCACGGTGCTGTCAACCTTTTATGGATCTGATCCTCCCTCTAATTATCAATTCAATGTTAACCTTCTCTTATTTCACAAATACAAGATACACTGTTCTAAATTGTAAAACTAAATTACATTGTGTCATGTAATTATTATATTTTGGTGGAAAAAGTTGCTTATTTGAATCATTAGTGCCTTATTACACCATTTTTAGGTTTATTTTTGAAAGATGTATTTGAAACAAGTTAAAATTGATATATTAAACTATCTGATTTATGAAAAAGTTTGTTTTTAGAACTTTTATTACTACACACTATCATTTTTCCTGTTTAATGAACCCATCATTAGGAGTAGCATAGCTTTTAATATCTGTGGTGTAAATAGATTAAATAGTTGAACTTTATCATCAGCTAATGTTTGCATGTGTTTTGTAAAGGCACCTGGACAGCATCCACCTCCTCAACCGAATGCACCCGCGTATCAAACAGCCCCACTCTCCTATCCAATATACCCTGGTTCTGCTGCTCCTCAACCGTATGGGTTTCCCTCACCTTCACCTTATCAACCATATCCACAACATTCTTCTCCTTACCCAAGCGCCAATCCAGCACCAGGTGGATATCCTCAACATACCACTCCTTATCCGGGCTCTTCCATGCCTACTGGATCACCCTATCCCTCTTCTAATCCAACTACTGGTGCTTATCCACCAATGTCTTCTCATTATCCTCCAACTAGTTCCCCTTACCCGAGTGGCAATCCACCGACAAGTTCACCATACCCTCAGTCTAGTCCTTATCCTAGCGGTAATTCAAGCCCATACCAAGCCTCACCTTATCCGAGTGGCTCTGCTCCTGCTCCTTACCAACAGCAACAGACTTCTTCACATCATGCTTCAGCAGCTCAGGTTAGCAGCTATCCCGGCAGCCATGGAGGTCAGACCTCTTATCCTGGAGTGGGCAGAGCAGAGCCTGCTCCTCTCTATGCTCAGGTGCCTCCTTTAACTTCACATTCCTCTGCCAAAACAGTAAGTATATCGTAACACTTTAAAGTTAATACATAGCCAAACCTCTATATATTGATCATCAAGCTTTCCTGAAGGTATATATATATATAAATTTGACTATTGCTGGTTCATTATGAAAAGTCATTAAGAGACATTTCCTTAAATCACTATGAATTTTCTCTTTGTGAAATCAAAATAATGTGCACTCGTTGTTAGCTATATTTAGTATATAAAAGTAAATCTGTCATTTCAGTGCATTTACTGTTTTTTTTTTTTTTTAATAATAAGGTTGAGTACAATCTTTTAAATAAGGTTTAAATTCTCAAAAAAAAAATTTCAACTAATCAAAAATTTATTTAGTGACTTTTTGCTATAAACTAACGATATAGAAGTATTGCGATTATTCATTCTTGTATTACCAAAATTAATTAGTTATTTTCGTGTAGTAAAAAAAATGAAAGTGAATTTTTAGGGTATTACAGGTAATATATTTTAAGTGTTTTTAATCTCCTCTAAAACATTCAAACATTTTAATAATCAAATTATTGGTAATGCGTTTTTTGTAACTTCATTTTTTTTTTTTTTTTTTTTTTTTTTTTTTTACATATTTTATTATGGTGAGCCAACGTTGGTATTTGATGATTTTCGTATTGAAGTCGCGTTCATAATAACAAAGATAAATTTAAATTTAAAATTTCTCAACATGTTAGGAAAAAGATTTGGTGAATCTCACATTATTTTAATTGTGACTATATCTTATGTTTTGTTTGATTTATAAAAATTTAAAGATCCCTAAAAAGGTTAGAGATTTTTGGTATATAGAGGTTCGGTTGTAGTTAAGCTGTATTTTTATGCCTATAGAGAATTAATGCATTCTAAATTATTAAGTTATTTTTTATTTCATTTTGTTAATTATTCACTATATTACCTTATTTGATTAAATTCTAATCTATTTGTTTATTTTTAATCAATTAAACGATTAAATTGAAAAAAAAATGTTTGTGTTGGCATTATAGACCTTGTATATCTTTTGCTGCCTTAACAAGCCTGCTTCATCTCTGCCTATCTTGGGCTATTTCTTTCTAGCTATCTGCATGCAGCTCTGTTGAATCTTTGTTGATTCAATCTATCCATCTGCTTTTTGGCCTTCCACATGGTCTTTTGCCTTCTATTGAGTTATATATTGTTATGTAGAGGTAGATTGCTCTGGACTACATGCCCCGCCCATCTTAATCATCATGAGATACTGATTGACTGTTAACTGAAAGATTTATTTACCAACATTTGTTCAGTTTTCTATTGACAATGTTTAGTATTCAAAGAACTGGTTTTAATTCACCTATTGAGTTGTTCAATCGCATAAATTGATTAAAGATTAACCACCTTATCTATCTATCAATATCTAACCACCAAGTAAAAAACTTCTCGTTTGCATGAACTTGTTTAACAGGAAAGCTGCTCCCCGCAACATATACCTTAAGCCTGTTGATCGAACAAATATTTTGAATTAATGTTATTCACCAATTACTGCTATTTTATTAACAGTGACTGACTTCTAAAAATAACCTCCCTATCCAATTCTAATTACAATTCTGTTGGTTTTCATCGGTATTGCGATTTATTCCAATATTTTTGTAATCTTAATATTTTTTTTTTCAAAACAATTTCTTATTAACTTCCGTTGATAGAAGTGAAGTATTTAAAAAATTCTGAATAGTGTTATTACGTTTTCACTTATTTTTTTAACCTTCAGGTCTGTTTTGCCTACAAGATTCTCCTTTTAAGTTGTTTGCCTATACATGTGCTTATTTAGAGTTAATTAAGTATAAATTATTAGCCTTTTTCAGTGGTTTATATGCATGAAATATTTTTTAATCTTCAGCCTACTCCAACCGTTAGACCTGCCAATCCATTTAACCCACGAGCTGATGCTGAAATTTTAAGGAAAGCGATGAAAGGATTTGGAACAGATGAAAAAGCAATCATTGAGGTGCTAACGAACAGAACCAATTCACAAAGGCAGCAGATATCTTTGGAATTTAAAACACTCTATGGAAAGGTATTGATATTTTTAAGATACACTGTAGTTTTAATCTTTGATAAATATAATTTGTATTAGACATTGCTTATAAAGTGAAACTAGTTCCCACTCTCCAATGTTTTTCATTTTTTTTCCCAATCAGTGTACAATTAATATCTCTGTAATTTTATGCAAAAATAAGGTCTTATGAAATCAGTTAGGAATAGAATTATAAACAAAATAAGATTTTTTTTGTTTATTAATGAGAATAGGGATTATGTATTTTTTTTTTTTCTGTTTTATTACATTTTCATTTTAAGATCTAAAAGTGGTTCTATGTAAGTACCTAAACCCCCTGATTGCCTCTAATTTTAATTCAATACATATATTTTTTTTACCTTGGTAAAATTGAGTTGGTTAATTTAAAGTAAATGCAGAACTGAAAAAAAAAATTTTTTAAGTACGATTTTTTTTTTAAACAATATATTTATATTTAAACAAAGAATAAAAATAAAAACTGTTGAATTAGTAAATGTAAAATAGCTACTTAGTTTTTGCCTAATCAACCCCCAAAGTTCAATTGTAATAAACTAAGTACGTATGTGGACGTTGTGTGTATATTGATGTTGCATGTTCTTTTATCTTTCACATTAATCAGTGGGTTAACAGCTATAGTGAGCACGTTGTTTAAATATTCATCAAACCCATCAGGAAAATTAGGTTATGGTTAGAGTTATTTATTTGTTCTTTTCCTTTTTTTTTTTTTAAATTTAATCCTATCATTCATTGTGATTATCTATTTAGGATTAATGATTGATTTTTCTTGAAGTTTGTGTGCTTTGTTTTTCTATTAAACTAAATTTGAAGCTGTGTCTTCTGTCACAAAAGTGGCTTTTGTACCTAAATACTAAAAAAAATGCCAACCCAATTTTTAAATCTACTCTAAGTTCTTTTTGAATCACATTAATTTTAATTCATTGAAGAGAAGTTGGTTGGGATGTTAATCAAAAATTAAAAAATTAAAAATAAATATAATTTATTTCCTTTTAAATTTTTTATTATTGACTGAACACCCCAACCAACTTCTCTTCAATTATTCACTACAGCCAATCATCATACCACTATTATAATTTTAATTCAATTTTTCGAACAATTAATATCATGAATATTTTGTTACCTATAAATTAAAGCAATAAAAAATATTACTGGTGGATAAACATAGGTTAGTGAGTAAGACATTTATTTATTAGATAGTCATTTGATTTTTTTCTATAACCTAGTGGATCTACTTAAAGTTGTTACTGTCTATAAAATGGATACCTGATCTTTTGACAAGTTAGAGAAAATCTGTTAGTCGAGCATGATATTTTTTTTATTGAAATCAGTATTTTATTGCAAGAATGTTTTTTGTTGTTCTTTTAGGACTTGGTATCAGATTTGAAGAGTGAAGTAAGCGGTAAATTGGAAGACTTGCTTGTTGCATTGATGACTCCGATTCCCGATCTTCTTGCTAAGGAATTAAATCATGCTATATCTGGATTGGGTACTAAGGAAGAAACCATAGTTGAAATACTGTGCACTGCAAACAATTACGAAATGAAATGCATCAAGGCAGCATATGAAAAACGTAAGCATTTTATGTTGCATATCATGTTTTATGTTGATTCATGTATTTTCTATGGATTTTTCTTTATGATAAAATTATTAATGAATCTTTGTCCTTTAAAGTTAACAAAAAAAGTGTTAAAGCAAAAATATTGTTTTTTAGGTAGAACCATTTATTTCATTCAAAATTTCAGTATGTCTAAGCGGTTTTGAGTGTTTTTTCTGATTTTTAAGGTTCTGTGTACCTATACAACCCCTCCAAATCGAGTTGGTGCAAAAGAAGAGGCACCTTTTGGATTAACCAAATTATAATAAACCATAAACAATTATAAAATGTTAAAAAATTAAACATGAGAAACTTTTCCAGCAGTTCAATTGATTTTAAAATTTTATTATTTTTTCTTAAGTAAGAATTTATGAAACAATTAAATAATTTTCCATATGTAATTCAAACAAAAATGAGAGGAAAATATGACTAGTGACAAAACTCAGCTTCTCAGACTTTTTTATTTTTTTATTCCTAAGAATGATAAATATTTCTTTTAAATTTATTTAAATTTCATTGTAAGCTTTCTCATTAAAGAAAGAATAAGAATCGATACGAAAAAAAAAAGAAAAAAAATTTTCTTTAAACAGTTCTTTAAATCATAATATGGCATATATGTTCTATTTTGAATGATATGAAGAAGAAATAGGCACGCTAAAAAGAGGAATATTTTATTAGAAGGACTATTCATGCTATAAAAAGTCAACTACTGAGAACAATATTGTGCCTAGTTAATAAAGTTCTGACGATTTTTGCTTGTGTAAGAAAATTATCATCTGTTTGTCAAAAAATAAATTCAAATAGAGAAAAATGTTTGGTTAGTAGTGAAAACAGTGAAAGTTTAGGTTATATGATTGGTTCAGAAGTAGGAATTTTTGAGTTTCTATCCACTTAAGTCATTAAGACAAGGACAACTCAGTCAATAATCACTTTTCCAGTCAAACTATGAAATACGTGATTTTTTTTTTCTCATTGGTCTTTCATTCTCTTGGTAATATTTCTTGACCCGTTTTTCTAAATATATATGGTTAATACAAATGGATTTTTCTATATTACCAGACCAGAAAATTTAAAAATTATTAAGGAGGGATGCCTTTTGGGCAGAGATGTATGTTAAGAGAGATTTCACTATACTTCTTATTTCGTTTTTGAAAAAAATAAATAAATATATATATATATATATATATATATATATATATATATATATATATATATATATATATATATATATTAGCCATTATCATTTTATCATATTTTGTTTTGTTTTTTAGTTTTTGGATCTTCATTGGAACAAGATCTGTATGGTGATACATCTGGAAATTTCAAAAGACTCCTGATTTCCTTATGTCAGGTATAGTGTTATTTAAATTTTCTATGAATAATATAAATTTATTTAAATAAGCAATTCCCAAACCACCTATGCCAAAAAATGTGGCAAGAAATGATCTATTATATGTTATATATGAAGAAAAGATGACCAAAACAAAAAATAAAAATATATCTTCATTCTAAGGACTACTTAACATGTTGACTGCCCATCCATGAGATAACCCAAAGTTAATATTCTTCTCTTGAATAGCAATTTGATGTTATTTGGTGCTTTGTTTAGGTGCCATATTTTTGCACACTAAAGTGAAATTCACTGTTATTTTTGATGATTAATATATTTTAAAATTAGGGATCCGCCAATATAGAAATTTTGGCTGATACCAATATTTCAAAAGGTCCACATGCTAATTGGTCCAAGGGGAGAACGAAAATTTAGAGGAAGAGGACAAAAAAAAATTTGGAGTTAGGGAAGATAAAATAATAATATAAACAATAAAATGAGGTCATAAGGCCGATGTATTGTTCTTTAGAATATCAGTATTTAAAAAAAAAAAAAATGGTATATCGGTATTGGTTGATCCCTAATTAAAATTAAAGTTTTTAATATTTTTTTTTCCTACCCTCCAGGAATTTCTTTATGACAAATTACAATATATGAATGATATATACATATTTTTATTTTTTTAATAACATATTTTTTAATTACATCAGCTTTATGGACTGAAATCCTGAAAAGTATAGCGGCAGTCAATGTGTAAAAATGTTTTTTCTTTATTTTTCCAATTTGGAAATCGTTGATTTAAATAAGACAATTAGTATTAATGAATATGGTTATTGGATTTTGATTATGTTGGAATTATTTACTGATTTATCTTAAAATTATCTCATAATATATTCCATGTGTAATTTTGATTATTATGTTATTTATCAGTAAAGGAAAAAGTGAACTTAAATTATTTTGAATTTATATTTGAATTTTTTTTTTTTTTTTTCAGGCAAATAGGAACGAAGCTTTTGGAGTTGATCAGAACTTAGCTTTTCAAGATGCTCAAGCTCTCATGAGAGCTGGTAATTATAAAATAATTTATAAATTCATAATAAGATACACTCGACCCTTTATTATACAATTTATTATTAATTTTTAATGTAGTTTATGACAATTATAATTTGCTAATGTGTTTCGATCTTTATCTCACAACTGTTGACAAATTTGTTTATGAGAGTCTTTATTTAGTTGTAACTGAAAAATTCATGGCTTGTTGTAAATTAACACTATATGCTATCCCCTCTTTGAGAGTTATGAAGAAAAGAAAACTATTTACTCATAACTAAATCAAATTTACAATTTATGGTTGATTGTATAAATATCGGGGAGCGGGGAGCTCAGTGGGTAAGCATTTGACTTTCAGAGCTCTAAGTCCCAGGTTTGAATCCAGCTGATCGCTAGTAATTTTTCATCTGTTGTGGATCATCCCACAGGGGCGCCCCTTGGGTACACCCATCCTCTGTAAATTGGGTACTCTTAATTAAAATATATAATTAAGAGAGAGAAGGGAAAGCTTGGTCCCCAGCCCAATCACCTCTCTACACAACCGATGGTCTTGAAACAGTACTTCCTAACATTGTACTGATAGCCGATACCCAAGACCCTTCATGTCCTATTAGAATATCTGATTAGAGTTGGTGCCAGTTTTGGTTTTTTGTTTTCAATAATGAATGTTTGTAATTGACTATGAAAAAAAGATATCCTCTTTCCTAAAAATCATGATATTTTGCTTATTTCTATATTATGTTACCATTTGGTGCCTAATCGATATACTTGGGGAATTAAATGTATAAATCAATTTGTTTTAATGATTTATTTTTTTTAAAAAATTGGTAAATATATTTACTGAACTTTTGAATTCAGATGATGCAAATTCATATAAATAATACTTCCATACAAATAGCTTAATGATGCCGAAACAGTGTTTCAAATTTACTGGACAATTGAATGATTTACATTCATATTTTAGTGATGTATGTTTTAACTTGAGAACATGTGCTTTTATTTATTTTTATTTTTTTAATTTCAGGTGAACTTAGGTTAGGAACTGATGAATCGACCTTCAATGCTATTCTCTGCTCTCGTAGCTATTCCCAGCTAGCTGCTACTTTCGCTGAATATCAGAGACTTACAGGAAATGATTTCGAGTCTGCTATCCGTTCAGAATTTTCAGGAGACATTGAATCTGGTCTCATTGCCATCGGTAAGTTTTGTAATTTATAATTTTAATTTAATTTTACATAGATTTATTAGTTTTTATATTAACTTTAAGAAAAGTAACAGCCAGTCACTGGGAATATGCTTACTTACTTATGAATTATCAAATATACTCATGACTAATTTAGTCCAAAGATAAACAAGAACCAGTTAATATTTTTTTTTTAGTCTCGATGTATTCAGTCCTAGAGTAAGTTCAGTTTAACCATTTGGTATTATATAGATTTAATTTAATTTAACATTTCTCATTTAAAAATTATTTTTAAGTAAATGATTAAATGGTATTTCTTTATTTTTTCAGTTCACTCTGTCAGAGACAAAAGTGACTTCTTCGCAGATCAGCTTCAGAAAAGTATGGCTGGTATGGGAACGCACGATCGTGCCCTTATAAGAATAGTATGCTATAGAAGTGAAATTGATATGGGTGATATAAAAAATGCTTATCAACGGAAGTTTGGAAAGTCACTTCAGGAAGCCATTGCCGTGAGTACTTGAATTGAATTTTATATATTTATTCTTTTTAATATATGCTTTTTTAAATATAATATATATTCAATGATTTCATAAATAAATGAAAAATGTTCATGACCCAGATATTTTTTTGTAGGAAATTTATTTTTATAGAATGTAGCATGATGAAAAATTATTAAATGTGATAACTTTGTATAACATCAAAGTTAGTGTCGAAAAATATCTAATCATTTATGAATTTTCATAATATTAACAATTCGTGCTAAAGAACTTGAACTGTTGAAATTAACTCATTTAAGATTAGTGCATTTTGAATGACTGTGAGATTTACAGTAGGAAATATATTAATTAGCTAATTAACTGTATTTTTATTTATTATTTTTTGTATCAATAAAAATGGATGTAACAATATAATTTCGTAATTAAATTTTAATAATTATTTTCATCAGTTTATATCTTTATGGCTTGCATGACTTAGACTAGAGTTAAAATGTCTATAAATTAGTAATAAGAAATTTGTCAAGGTTTCATTGGCAAAAATCTTCCGATATTATCTGTTATTGTTTTTTCAACAACTATAAAACAAAATTCAATGTTTATATTGGTTTTTAATACAATAAGAATGTCAAAATGATCCAAAAAAGTTTGCAGGAATGATAATTTAATTGTTTTTTTTAGTCATTTATTTTATGTTTCAATGGAGTTTACCCTGGTGTGTAAATATGAAACTGGAATTTTGTTTAGTAAATAAACATTGCATAAAAATTAAATATTTTGCATCGCTGGTTATACATTTTTTTTCTATCTCTCGGGCAATTTATGAATGCCAGGCCAGAAAAACTGTTGTTTTAGTGGCAAAACCATTCATCAAGACATTTTCATAAAGTGTGAAATGCAAAAATAATATGCAAATGAATAGTAATCTGACGGAGCCAAGTCTGATAAGTAAATCACATGCTCTAAAAGTTTTGAACTGAACGCTGCAATCATTTCCTTCTCCTACTTACACAAAACGATGGTGCGTTACCACAAATAAAACTAAAGAAACTAAAGTAGAATGTCGCAATTGTGAGGTTTTTCTTTGTATTGGTAAATGTTTTGAAGATTACCATACAAAATTAAATTATTAAATAAATATTTAAACGTTTAAATAAATAAATAAAATTTAAAAAAAAGTTTTAACTCTGCTAATGTTGGTCCATAGCCCAAATCGAAGAGGAGAACGGAAACAATAAAATAAGGTTAAAAGATAGTAGTAAGAAGTTCGGTAATAAAGGGTGAAAAGCAGGTAAAAAGTATGTAGCATGGGCGGGTAGGCAAGAAACCGTCTTAATCAGCACTATGGTAGACGTAAAGCTCGTCATTCCCACAGCAGCAAAAAAATTAAGGGACATAGTCACAGAATAAAGTTGATTTTTCTATTCTATTAAAAAGCTGCTGTTACATGAAACTTTTATTAATAGGGTGTATAGAAAAAAAAAAAGACCGTTTTTCAAACAAATATTTGTATTATTATTTCTTTGATATAAAATACTACTAATACTCAAAGTATAGTTCCATTGTTATCTACCGTGATTAGTCTATTGCTCGATCCCACACTGATACCAGTTTTTGGGGTGGCTGTCAAAGAAATCTTGGATTGCAATATCAACTTCCTCAAAATTATCACCTTTTTTCCCTTGAAGAAAATAGTCCACGGATCTAAATAAGCAGTAATCCGATGGTGGGAGGTCTGGACTGTATGGTGGATGAGGCAGGAGTCTCATATCAGAAGGGTTTTTCACTAATTTCAAAGCTTTTAGCTGATTGCTACGGAGTAAGTTTGTGAGGGACCAGTCTAATGCTCTTTTTCACCTTTTATGGAGAGTATATGGTGACTAACAGAATCTTTTGACACAACACACTCCCTGGCAAGTTTGTGAATACTCGTGGACGGATTTGACTCAACAGCTTCCTGCAGAACCTTATCAATATCCATTAATGGTCGCCCGGAGCCCTTCTTCTTTTCCAACTTCATATCTAAATTTTTCAAACCAACACCGCAAAGTACACTGGTCAAGTATGCCTTCCCCATCATATTTAATAATTTCACGAATTGCTTCAGCGGCTGTGAAATTTTATTTTTCAGTAATACCTTAAAATTATGAGAAGTTCGTAAGATACTATCATGTTTATTCTTTGAAACAAATAACTAACCTGAGGCTGTTTTTGAATGGGATTAAACAAGCTTAAAGAATGCTCTAAAGGTATTATTAAATATCAGTAAGTATTAAATAGGAATTAAAATATTTACATTCCTTTGAAATTTTGAATTTGATAAAGCGGTCATTTTTTTTATAAACCCTATTATTATTATTGTTGGTAGAAAATCTTTACCAGTAGACTAAAAAAACAGTGGTACCATTAATGCGGTTTGACAACAACTACAGTAACAACGAAAGCCATTTGTCTACGTTTCATATTTATACAATACCAGTTCACAGTTTTGCCCCAGGATTTTGTTTAATCTGTATCACTGGATGTGTAATTGTTTTCATATATTTTTTTTTTTTTTTCAGGGTGATACTTCGGGTGACTACAAGAAGTGTTTGTTATCTTTGATAGCCTGAGAAGTTGATTCTACCAAAAAAAATTTAAATTTTACCCATCACTCTATCTCTCTTAAATACTATTGGTGGTTGGATTTATAAAAGCCATCTGTTAAATATGTTATGAATTGGATGGTCTGCATTTCTCTTTTTAATGGCATTATATTAGCACTACTGGCCGAACAAGAATTTAATGGATGTTAAGAATTATCACGAATTATTTTTGGTCTCTGGTTTTATTGTCTCATTTGTTATTTATTTTTGTTTTTTTATTATTGATTTGTGAATATGTTAAGTGTTTCATGTTAGTTATTCATAGTTGCATTGTCTAGAGTTTCATTGCTGTTTTTTCTAATGGTTTGTTATCATTTCACTTAATTTATCATTTAAATTTTTGTTGTTTTGGAAATTATTATTGTATTTGTTTAAAATTATATTCAGTTAGACTGAAGTAAATGTTTTTTTGTTGTTGATTTGTTTAGCATAGTATGATTAATGATAGTAAAACTATCATATTCTTCTCATTGTTAATAGAGCAGTGTTGGGCTTTATTAAATAATTTTATAAATACAAATTTCGCTATTCCTTCCTTTACTAATTATTTTCAAGATATAATTACTTTAGCAGTATTAAGTATATTAAGAAAATTTAAAATCTTTGAACCTATAAAAAAATATTGGATACATCAAGAATAAATAACACTTCATATTTATATTGGAAAAAAAAATTATATTCTAATAATCATTAATAGTATTGATCATTTAAAAATAAAATTTATATTATTTTTATTTGTTTACAATATTAATCATGCTCAGCACTGTTATAATATAAGATTAATATTTGCGCCCTCTTAAGGTATAATTAAATTTCTGAAGACTGTTTACTAAGCCTGCATTTTTGCTGTATTGTGCCAACTTTTAGAACTAAATAGATCTAAATTGATAACCTTCATAACAATGGTATTCCAAAAATCTATGTTTTGTATGAGAGTTTTCAATGGTTTAATGAACTAATATATTTTATCTTTTATTAATCACATGCATTTTCAATGTTAGCTTTATATGTTATACGAGTATTTTTAAGAAAATGTCTTGAGTTCATTATGAAGTTATGATGGCTTAATGGTTATTGTTAAAGTATATCTGTTATTAGAATACCTATTTTATATATACAAATATAAAATTATGTATGTAATACTTAATATATATATATTTAATCATCGAGCATTTGTCACTATAAGTTTATGGATATATTTTATCAGAGCTTTATCTTTCATGCAACCAAGTGCCACTCAATAACTTTCATTACTCTTCCAATTTTTTGTCAATTACTTGATAATTAATCTTATCACTCATTTAGTTACTATACCTTAAATTAAACTTTTTAAAACTTAGTTATATTCAATTTAAAAAGACATAATAATACAGTTAAAAATTTGTTTCATTATTTGATTTAATCGAGTTAGAGATCTATCCCACAATTAATTATTTTAAATCGATCTTCATTAATTTTTCAAATATTTTATGGAACTCTTTCTTGAGAGAAAAGGAAAATTTAATTAAAATATTCATTGAAATAAAATTACTCTTCCTAGAAAACAAATTTAAAATACAACTGTTGACGTAATAAAATGATCTGATATTACTGTTTTCCATTAATATTTTGAATTTATTTGAAAGGAGTGTTGATAGCTAAAGGAAATTTCATAATTTGATACTGTTATTATTATGCTAAAAGATATAAATATGTATTTTATTAACATATTTATTAAATTGATATAAGTTGTATTATGATTGATTTTATATTGCTGTCTAGCTGATCTGAGTTTTCTGATAACATTCACTTTATAAGGTTTATAATATGTTATGTACCTACTTTACATTTAATTCAAATAACTATCATTTCATTTCTAGTACCTGATTTTGTCATCATTAACAATATTTGCTCCAATCATCTGTGTACTCATCAATTCAAAATAACTGTTATTTAATTGACTAAAAACCTAATTATTTTACATTGATTAGAAACCTAGTTTCGCCTATTCCTCATCAAAACTAACACTGATTATTTGGTCGTTATGAATTTTTTTAGATGATTTTTATTATTTTTAAATTTGGATTGTCGATTTAAGGATGTTCCAACAGAAATTCACTATCTTGTAATTTAATTAATTTTTCTTTTCTTCTAGTGAAATTATTTTATTTTTTAATTTAAATTTGATTACACTATTAATTTAAATAAGTATAGTTAGAATCTCGCCTCAGAGTCTATTTTAGAATTTACTAACAAATTATTTTTTGATAAGGATAAAGTATTGATAGTATGGATTTTATAGATCATAGGGTGCTGAATGTCAAAGACTGTAAATTATGATGAATCAAACGGATAAAAATTTAAAGATTATTTTACTAATTATGTATTATATTTTGTTAAATTTGATATATTCTAACAGTGTTGCATCTTATATATTTCTATGTAATAAATGCTTGATCATACTGTGTTTTCTTTATTATATTGTTTTGTTCCTGTATTTTATAATTATTGAACAAAAATGAACTAGTCAGCAGTGTAAGTATATATGTATATATTTATATATTTTAAAACTGACTAGAGAACTAAGGGAGTAATTGTCATTTGCAAAATCAAGCTTTTGGTTGTAAAACATGGTAACTGACAAAATATAAAATTTTGCAATTTTAAATTATTTGTTTGATATAATTCGTTTATCATCTCTTTAATTCAAATATTACTATTTAAAGAAAGAAATTCCTTAAAGAATATCTCATGTAGGTCACGCCAAACTGCTCAATATTTTTGAAGACCTATTTTTTTTATTGATTTTGTGATCAAATTATCTTACAATCCAAGTAAAAAGGAAATGGATATTTACGAGTTTTTAGTACCTAATTAAATAGAAAAAGTTTGTCCCCCCCTCCAGAATCAAAACACACCAATTCCAAGAGTTTTCGTAAATAAAGTAGTTGTAGGTTACGATCAGATGAGACTATTTATGCAGTTTCAGGCGGATGTTAATAATTCGATACAAAGAGGTCTTTACCACGAATTAATATTTGTGCCCCATAATGATAATATAATTTTGTCTGAATACACTAGTTTTAAATTTAAGTATTTGCCCTCTACTGACCAATACAAAATGTTGAGAGATCTGGTCAAGGAACTAATATTTGATTTTTGAAATACAATCAGAGGTGTCTAGAATAGAGTTAAATGACACAAGTGGTACCATCCAAATTCTCTGTTTTTAATTAGAGGGGAGTTAAAAATTTTCTCGGGAGGGTGGCCCTAAAACAATTGGCCCAAAATATTTATACACCTATTCTATCTAGCAGATTCAGGATTTAATTTTGGAAGTGGGGTTCAGCCCAAAAGCTTTTTATATATATAAAATGGTTGGTCAGTACCTATTTTAATTTAATTACTTTCTCCTTATTTCTTGTCCATAGATCTAATTTAGTAAACAACCATGCTTGATTTATTGTCATATTCTTTGTTATTTTTATTTATACATTTTGGGAATAATTATTCTCTCTCCACAACGCCTATACAATGTAGGTGAAACATGTCATTTACATTATTTTTATTAATAACATTTTAAATTTAATTTACATGTAAGGATCTTCCAACCGTAAATGTACTTGCTTATTTTTACGTGAGTGTTTGACCAAGCTAATTTTAAGACATCCAATACTGGAGCAAATTATACATGTAGGTTATACATTATATATATATATATAAAACAATTATTACTTTGAAAAAAAAGAAAGGGACTAACTACCTATATGAAATGGCATTTAAGTGATTCTTGAAGTTCTATTGAATGTAATTACAGGAACAATAATACTTTAAGATATTATGTTTTAATATTTTTTTCCATAAAATATGGTTACATTTTACCATTTTGGAGGGAGAACTTCAGCCTGAAAGTCTCTCCTCTCCTCCCTGTAGATCTGCCTGTGCATCTCTCTTTTCATTATATATTTCATTCCCCTTTCTAGAAATAGGTACACGTTTTGAGGTACCTTAAGATCGAAATAACCAAGTGTGTACGTAAATATATATAAAAAAAAGTTGTAGGTTATGATAAGATGGTGATATTTTAAGATGACAGACCTTTGATTAGGCACTTTTGATCTCTTAAATAGGAGCACATACATAAATATCTGGTGCAGTGCCTGCATCATACAACTTTCAACTACCTCCCTCTAAGCAGAAAAGTATTTTCAGACAAAGGGGTAGTGAAAGTAAAAATTATAAACGCTACATTGATTTATATTTCATTATGAGCATTTTTATTTGTATAAGTACCCTTATATATACAAATTTTAATATTTATATCGCTGTAATCTATACAATTAAATATTAAATAATACCAACAATAACATTTATGAAAGCCGCATATGTATATTTACATAATATTGTCAGAGTCCTTATTATATTAAGCTCATATTAGGTATGGAAGCATGTTCTAATCTTTGGAGCGAACTCGGGTGTATTCCTTTGGTTCCTCAATTACAACTATTCTCCGGTAAACAATATTATATTTAAATATTAACAACAACTATTTGAGCAGAATAGTCCGTAGTACAGACCCCCCTTTTTAACATCCTCCTGAAACTTTGTGAATAGCTTCATCTCATCGTAACCTACAGATATTTTATTTACGAAGATTCTCGGAAGCAGGACATTTTCAATTTGGAGAACAGCAAACTTTTCTTTATTTAATTAGGGGTACTAAAAACTCGTAAATACCCATTCGCTTTCAACTTTAATCGTAAGATAATTTGAGCACAAACTCGAGGAAAAAGATGACCTTAAAAAATATTGAGCCTTTGGGCGGGACCTACCCCCCACAAATCTCAAGATAACGAGGTTCTGTTGGCCAAACGGCCAAATATTTTTGTGAGACATTTTTTTTTCCTCTAATTTGAGATCAAATTATCTTACGATCCAGGTGGAAAAACAAATGAGTATACATGAGTTTTTAATACCTAATTAAATAG